GGATAAGATTGCGACCCAACTGCTTATCAAAGTGCGGCCGATGGCGTTCGCTATGGAAGTCGCATCTCGGCGCAGGAGAGGAGGGGCCTCGACCGATTTCTTAAAGTAACCAAGGCCGGCATGTTCGCTTGGGAAGACGGTGGTCATGGGTCCTAGCTGAGTGCGGGTGGGAGGAGTGGGATACTGGGTCACCAGTACACCTCGATTAACTCTATCAGTTAAGAGATGCGGTAAAAAATCGATTCATCAGGCAAAGAAAGTCTTTGAATCAAGAATCTTCCGACAGGCTGAAGACAAGCCCAATATGTTATTATCAATGCTATATTATAACGCTATAGTAATGGTCGACTAAAAGCAAGGACGCAGTCGCAGTACTTAAGGATGAGAATTGCGTAGAATTCGTTGACAATGCTCAGAAAGCAGAGTACAATGTCCGGTTCTTTGCCCAGGTATTCACTAGGGAAACCGGGCTTCAGTTTCATAATGTCAACAGTGCTGTTGTGAACGCTGGTCTAGCTCTCCAATCTCTATTATTCTCCAAATCTCTAGTTGAAAGAGAGTTGCAAATCCTCAGAGGAGCAAAGGCATCCAGTCCAGACAATATACAGGCCACATTTTTGGAAGAATTGGCAAGCGAGTTCACAAAATCCCTTCCATATATCTTCTGTTCTTCACTTGAATTAGGGAGAGTGCCATCCGAATGGAAGACAGTAAATACATACACGATATACAGGGGTAGGGCTCGATTGAAGTTCAATAATTATCGGCCCGTCAACTTAACTTGCATCTACTGTAATGTGATGGAGACGATAATTAAGTAGGTGACAATGAAGTTCCTGGAAGAGAACAACTTACTCTCAGGATTCCAACATTTCTTCAGACAAAACCACTCTTGCCTTTCTAGCGTATTACTTTTGACTGAGAACTGGACTTGCACACTGGATGAAAATGGTAGGGTTGATGTCATCTATACTGATTTCAAGAAGGCGTTTGACAATGTCCCACATAAATGTCTAATTTATTTATGATCGGAAATTATAATAAGAGGAAACATGCTGACATGTATCACAGATTTTCTCACAGGACGATCACAAACTGTGCGCATGGATGACTCGAAGTCAACCCGTATCCTTGTTCTAAGTGATGTTTCCCAGTGTTAGAGTCGTTGCTATTCCTAATCCATATAAACGACTGTGTCCATGACCTGGGTTGTAGCACCATCATGTTTTCTGACGGTGTCAAATTCTGGGGAGCCATCAGGTCTAATGCCGATTGGCAAACACTTTGAGAGAGTCACAACCGACTTAGAAACTGGTCTACTCGCTGGCTCTTAAATGTCAACTTTAGTAAGTATGTGGTCTTAAGGCTCCCCTCCAGAAGGACCAATGTGGAGGATGATTCCTTTTAATACCTCCTCGATAAGCAACTCCTTTCAACTATTGACAAACAGAAGGACCCGGTATTCTAGTAAATTCCTAGATTAAACCATCTTTTCAGTGGCTTAAGGCAGCTAAACGTGCGACATATGTTTTTTGGCGAGAATGATTAGTGAGGCCAAGGCGATATTTGGGAAACCAAGGTCCT